TCAGTTAATAATTGGGTTAAGTTTGATTAGCAAAGGCCTTTCTCACTTTATCTTTCACATACCAACAATTTGACCGAAAAGCAACTTAATAAATTGATAAATAATTTAACAAACCGTCACCCGTATGTTCCAACACTGGCTTTTTTATAATTGTTATTATTTTACTTAACATGTACGTCACGCCAGGATGACCGCTAAATCAGTTCTAAAAGATCTGTTCAAAAGAACCGATTCCAGAAACGAGTCTTGCCAGAGACTTCCCCGCACTACTATTGCGAAGACGTCGCTCATGAATATTAATATGGCAATGCTGACGTTGCTTCGTAACCTTCCTGGAGCGACCAATGGCGTTACCTAATTAATATTAAGTACCTTAGTAGAATTCGTAGAACGTAAACGTTCACGTTGTAGCAGTCAGATTAGATTTCGTAATCTATGAATGTGACACAAACACGTGCTTGTGCCACGACGACAGGTGCAAAACTTTCACACGCAAACTGTAGAAGTTAAACACGAGATTCAGTTATTTCTCACTTAAAAGCTTAAAACCTAAAATGTTTGGTTTCATAGTCGCACAGAGCACGTGTCACATCAACAGTTTGCAAACGGAATTTCTAGAAATGCCATTCATTTGAGAAGGGCAGGACACTAGTGACCTCTGCTTTACTCCTCACATGCCTATTTTTACTCCTTTCTGAAATATCACCTCCTGCAGCTCCAGGACCTTTCCCATGACCAGCACTCTGTCAATATTAGCTATCTGGCATAGTAAAATATATACACTTAATGGACAGAATGCAGTTGAAGCACTGAATTATGAATAAGAAAACACGTAAAAAGCATAAACAACTTGTCTCCTCTTGTTTGGGAATGTAGGTGGAAGGGTGCTCGAGATCGGCTTTGGAATGGCCATAGCAGCCACTAAAGTGGAGTCCTTCCCCATTGAGGAGCATTGGATCATTGAGTGCAATGATGGTGTATTCCAGAGGCTACAGGAATGGGCCAAAAGTCAGCCACATAAAGTAAACAAAATATATCTGTATCTGCAAATTGTGCCGAGTTATTACATGCAGCTTATGACTTCTTAAACTGTCCATTATTTTGGTTATACTTGCATAGGTTGTTCCTCTGAAAGGCCTGTGGGAAGATGTGGTGCCAACCCTACCCGACAATCACTTTGATGGTAAAACCATTTTAATATTTACTATAATGCAAGCAAAATATCTTTTTTTTTTTTAAATGCACATGCATAATGGTAACCTTCAGTACAAAAGAGGTGAAATGTGCCGTTTACTTGCCAGTGACTACGTAAAAAAAGAAAAACAAAAGTCTTGAAAGGAATTAATACTTTTATTCAACAAGGATGCATTACATGGATCAAAAGTGATAGTACAAAAGATGTGCTAAAAAGAAAGTTATTTTTTCAGAATCCTCAAAAAATAGCACTCTCACAAAAATATGAAGCAGCACAACTGTTGCTGAAAAGAAATACTGTTATTTTTTACTGTTATTTTGCTGAAAAGAAATACTGTTATTTTTTACTGTTATTTTGCTGAAAATAAACACTGATATTTTTTACTGTTATTTTGCTGAAAAGAAATACTGTTATTTTTTCCTGTTATTTTGCTGAAAAGAAATACTTGCTGAAAATAAATACTGTTATTTTTTACTGTTATTTTGCTGAAAAGAAATACTGTTATTTTTTCAGAATCCTCAAAAAATAGCATTCTCACAAAAATATGAAGCAGCACAACTGTTGCTGAAAAGAAATACTGTTATTTTTTCTGAATTTTTTTACTGTTATTTTGCTGAAAAGAAATAGTTATTTTTTTCTGAATTTTTTACTGTTATTTTGCTGAAAAGAAATACTGTTATTTTTTCAGAATCCTCAAAGAATAGCATTCTCACAAAAATATGAAGCAGCACAACTGTT